GATAAGAATTCCTGCGATAAGAATTGCTTGATGGACACTCTTCGTATTTTCATCATGTTTTTGAACGTCTCTCTTTGCAGTGACGCATGGACTTGAGCCGAAGACAAAAAACCCGATGGAAACTGTGATGACGCTGATGATAGCGTCCCAAAATATTTCAAACAAACCGGAGACATCGATGAAAACGACATCCTTCTTTGACTGTAGCGCATTAACCAAATTCGCTGAATGGCGAAGTACTGCAGGGGGACCGTTCACGAATACGTCTTTGCCTGGCTATTGGGGATATTTCCAAACTGGAGAAGACATGGTGTATCCACGTTTCACGACGGCAGGTGGCTCAGAAAAGGGACAACTTGCGGCTGCCTTGGTATCCCAAGGTAAGCGGATGAATAAGTGTAAACTTTGTTCTGCGATCTGCTGAGATTTAGCATTTATAAATAGATTAAATGTACTATGCGTTGGATACATAAGTGCGTTACAATTATCGTATTCAGGAATGATCTCTTCGGTCTCGAATCTTGTAACGGTATCATTGAACGCCACCAGTCAAACGTCACTGGCCCCTGCAGTTGGGAAAGTACTGAAGATTTCATCGGGTGACTTCGTCGTCCCCATGTTCATGTATCAAGCAAACTCGCAGTTCGCAACAGAGTTGGCATTCGCAAAATGTACCAGTCAAGCCACAGCGGACAAGATTTGCCGCTATGTCGTTGCGTCTGGTCGGGTTCATCCAGAACAGAACTGGGCGGTCGGCGCCGTACTTAGGAAAAACAACAAATGCTTCATACGACATTTAGTCAAGAATGGCGTTGGGTGCTGGGCTATGTTTGACTCGCGACCCTTCACGTCAAACGAAGGCCTTCTAGCTGTCGAAAGCTTGCTGTCAGATCCTCAACTTTTCGTCTCCCCATATCATAATCAATCACCCTCCACCACGTGCTTGACAGAGATTCGCTCCCAGTTGAGTAATGCTGTCTGAAGCCATCGTTTTTCTTTGAGAAGCTGCAGCTACAGCAGCCTACATGTTTGTGTTTGTCGTTGGTCTTTTTTTCGTTTATCGTGCGGGCACTGTGACAGATGCGCCAAGTAGTCCTCTCCAGTGAATATCATGACAACGTTGCTGGGCCCTTCACCGACGTGGCGCTCGGATCCTGCCATTTTGACCGACATTATTGAACTGCTCAAACAAGCAGATTCCCCAGACACGCAAGTCCAGCGGAAGTTAGCAGAAGCGGTGGGGAGACTCGAATTGCTTGTTGATGCGCCTTGCTATTTCTGCTCCATTCTTGTGGATGAGGTGAAAGAGGCCGAGGAAGTTCGGCAACGCGCGGGGTTGTTGCTGAAGGGAAGAGTGGGAGAGCTTGTTGGGAAGGTCTCAGCTCAGCGTGTTGGCCTTGATGGAACAACAAACCAGAAAATTACATCAGATGAGCTCGCTGTGATGGATTATGTCAAAACAAACGCGATTCGAGCTCTTGTTGATGAAAGTCGATTAATCCGTGAAACTGCTGGGATTGTCCTGGCGTCTATTGTGGGATCCCAAGGGGTTCAACAATTCCCCCAAGTGTTGTCATCATTATTCCAACTGCTGAATCACTCGAATGTCGAAATTGTAAGTGGAGCATTCAGTGCGTTGAACAAAATCATAGAGGATGAGCTTGATCGAGACGAAATCTATACAGATCGAGCGAACAACATTTTCGCGGAGTTTTGTATTAAAACCCTGATCCCCGCACTCTTAGAATTCACTCGACCCGAAAGTTCATTTCAGCAAAAACGCGATGCTTTGACGGCTTTGAATCTCTTCGGACGAAATAACCTCTTTTCGGAAAATGAGATCTTCAGTCAGTTTTTTCCTTCCTATTGGGAATGCCTTGGTGTTCTGGCTCTGGATCAATCATCAGGAATTCGTTTAGCTGTTCTTCAAGGGATGAAGCAAGTGACAACTCTGTCTCCAGAACTTGTGATTCGTAGCCTCGCCAGCATCATTCCATTCTTGCTTGAGTGCTTATGTTTCAATCAACCGTATGAGATTCGATTTGAGGCTCTAGAATTGCTTTTCAACGTGCTCGGTCATCAATCTTCATTTGCTTTGATAGAAAGCGCGCTTCCGAGGTGAGACTCTATTGATGTTCACTTGAACGTCAGAATCTTAAATGTTTGAGGAGAATGAAATGGGATTTGAATGCATTTGTTAGAACAGATAGCTATTGTAGTCTTAGCCGGGTGACCTTAGGGGCTCGTTTGTTGTCAGTGTGAACACCTCAAATGCAGCATTCTCCCATCGAATCCCTTTCTGGTGACCATTTCTACTCTGTCTTCTGATTTCCATAGTCGTTGTCCATTTTTGGCAGTCTCATGCTATTCGAAATCAAAATAAATCATTTTGACTTTTTTTTCCAGATTGTTGCCTTTACTTGTCGATAATGCAAAATATTCACAATGGGATTACATGCATATGGATCGCTCTCAATTCGAAGATGACAATGCCGGCATTGCTGACGAGGAACATGATCTTGAGCCTCGATTCCACAAAAGCAGGAACGATGACGCTGACACTGAAGACGGAGAAGATGATGAAGGGGCAGGCAACGAAATGATGAGCACGTGGGGCGAAACGTGGACATCGAGGAAGTGGAGTGCTCGAATTCTTGACAGTCTATCTTGCATCTATGGGGGGATGATGCTACCGTTTCTTTTGCCACAGATAGAGGCTCGGTTACAGCAGCAGGATTGGGAAGTGAAAGAATCCGCTGTTTTGGTACTTGGGGCAGTTTCGAGAGGTTGCTTGGCGGGGCTTGAAGAGTACTTGCCGAAGATTTTGGAAATGCTTGTTGGATTATGTGATCACGCCAAAGTAAGCTCACTCGTAGATGGGAATGACAGGCTGGGCAAGAAGGTACAGGGCTTGGGTTCGAATGAACGTGTTACGGTGCACTCATAGAAGCAATTGAATCTTATAAACAGCCACTTCATGATAAACAGCCACTTCATGATAAACAGCCACTTCATGATAAGCAGCCACTTCATATAAACAGCCACTTCATGATTGTTTTGCATTAACAGCCACTTCATGAATGTTTTGCATTAACAGCCGATTCTCCGAAGCATAAGCCTGTGGTGCTTGGGAAGATTCTCACTGTGGATATACACAAGAGAAGAAGCCTTGAGGATTGTAACGATGACAGTAAGCGTCGATTTTGAAACTTTATCATCATGAAAGTCTTTTCCATCATGAAAATATTTTCCATCATGAAAGTCTTTTCCGTAGATTTTAAGGCACTTCCTAGACGCAAACAAGAAGGTTCAACAAGCAGCATGTTCAGCATTTGCGACGTTGGAAGAAGAAGCAGGGCCGCAGTTGGTGGAGTATCTCCCTAATATTGCAGAAACATTCAATGCCGCATTGAGAACTTACCAGGTATGACGTCAAGAAATAGAGTTGAGCGAGCAAAGTCTGCCAGTGCTACGACGACAATTGATCTAATCAGCCAGAAGTCTGACGAGAGGGTTCAGCACATTGTCTGCCTGTGAATGCTGTCTGCGGCAGACGTTAAGTCGCTATAGCCCCGCATTTGTGGTGACCCAAACTTGCTCTGATTCTTATTTTGATCTCTAGACATCAACACGCTAATCCTTATTCTGATTTCTTCTTGTGTTCTCTAGACTAAGAATTTGATGGTCCTCTTTGATGCAATTGGAACTTTGGCTGAATCGATGGGATCCAAAATCGATGCTCCTGTATTTCATGAGAAAGTCACAGATCCATTAATCCAGTTTTGGCTGAATGCTTCAATGGAAAAGAACAACCCTGTGATCATTACAGCTTTTGAGTGTCTTTCATGTGTCGTGATGGCGATCCCAGCAGGTTTGTTCAATAGTTACTAACTCCACTTCTTCATCAACGAATCTTCTAACGAATGGCTTCTTCTACAATGACCCTTCGTCTCTACTTCCCTTCCTATTGCATGAGACGCTTTCAAATTGTCGGATCTGAATCACATGAATACTCCTCGTCTATTCTCAACTCTGCTTGTAACTTTTGATGTCAACGTTGCAGTTGTCATAGCCCCGAATGGCATTGTGTGGTTTATCTTCACCATAGACGCATCTTCTAGTTCTCCTCGCTAAATTTCTATCTTCCCACTTTTCTTAGGGCTGACACGCTATGGAGCTGCGATTGTCCAGCGATGTCTTGAAGTTGCGCGGGATGTGCTTCTTCGACTTGACGCGTACACCAAGAACACAACAGAACGTCCCGATCGATCTTTAATAGAATGCAGTTTCGATCTTCTATCGGCTGTCATGGACGCTATAAAGTCCAAGATCGAACCCTTAATCGCATCGACCGACCTTCTCGAACTTCTTGAAAAAACGTCTGCTGTAAGTTTGATCACGGTACAGAATTGTTCTTATGGTCGCGGTTGGTTTCCTTCTTCAGTTGCCAGCATCGATCGTTAGCTCAACGGTGAAACAAAGCGCTTTCGCTTTGATTGGAGATCTGTCTGAGCATTGTCCCAATTTTATGAGGCCGCGCGTTCCACTCTTGGTTCCTCATGTAAGGGATCATTCACGGCGGACTCATCCCGTGACTCTTCTATCTTTCAGCTGCTTCTCCATGTTGCTGATGGCCCACACAATGTTTGCAACAATGCCTCATGGGCAATCGGCCAAATCGCTCTTCACATCGCAACAAATCATGAGTTAGATCCGTTTGCTTCAGACATCACAGCTCAACTAATTCGAGTTCTGCAAGCCCCATACTCTCCTGTCAACATTGTCCGGAATGCTGGAATCACGATTGGCCGACTCGCATGTGCAAGTCCGATCCACGTCTCACAAGCGATTGTTCCCGTTTTCGGACAATGGTGTCGAGTGTTAGAAGGTTCACCCAATGACGGTGAAAAAATTTGCGCATTCAAGGGTGAGATTCAAATCGAGGCGTGATTCTCGTGTTCGTGTTTCTTTCACTATGTTTGACTGGTATCCGACCGCCAACTATCTTACGATGTGGTTACCGCACATTTTGTACCCTTTTGTCTTCGAGCAGGTCTTTGTCATGTTGTTAATTACAATCAGCAGTTGGCTATTGACCATCTGCCTTCGGTTTTGGATTCAATTTGTTCACTCTATATCGGCCAAGTCTCTTCGCCAGATATTCCACCACCACCGTCCATCAGAGTCACACCAGAGGTTCATGAGCTGTTTCTTCGGATCGTAACATGTATGTTTAGGATCTTAGACTCCTATTCTACTCTAATATTAAGAAATCTATTCTTCTCTAGAACTTTGCTCCCAATTTGTCGTTCTCATTTCAACTGTTTTCAGGGCTTCATTCAACACCTGAATGGAGTAACGCTGCTTCCCATCTCAAGCCAACGACGAAGCAAATCCTGTCCTCATGGACCTTATAGTCTGTTCATCTTCATGAGAAGTGTTTGTTCATGTTCTTTATTCTTCTGCGAAGTTGAACTCCACTCAGTTGCATTGGGGGCTGACAAAGAAAATGAACGTCCTAAGTGTCCCTGTTCTCGAATCTTATTAAGAACTGGTGTGGGATCGTCGAGTTTCATTCCGCCACGATCCTCCGGTGTCTGGTAGATACGAATTGTGCATTTTTATAACATTTTCGAAGGTGACACGGTGAGTCATGCCGCGAGTGCTTCAGAGGTGGATCAAGGGTAATATCAACCGCAGCAGTCAACTTCGGGAAAGTGCTGGAACCATTGGAACAAGGCCTTTGGGTTTTCGGCCATACAGAAATCAGTACAAAGCTAAACTATTTCATCAACATCTGTTTGGTGTTGATTGACTTGAAAGGGTCGGTATTGAAGCAGTCGAGCATAGTGAAGAGCGATGGGATGGCCTCTATAGTGACGTGGAAGGTCGCTGCTATCTGGTATTCTGATCGAAGCGTATTCGGAGCCTTTTACTCCACTTCCCATAACTCCACTAGAAGTGTCGCAACGCATTTGAAATGTTGATTTCGGATTGATGCGTTGCAGAGCCATCAACGTCCTTCGCTTGGAAACTGGAAAACATCTTGGTGACGAGCCGCCCGGCCGAGCAGTCGCGGGAACCTTGTAGTCGATGTGGTTTGGAAGTCGGCCATGGAGGGACAGCTGAGTTGAAGCGAACTCCTTCTTGATAGGATTTGACGGTTTTTTATGTGATTCTGTCGAGCCTCCTGAAGTCGTTGAAGCGGTGGAATCGAGCCCCAATGGTCGCGATGTAGATGAACCGATAAATCCGACTTGGTTCAACGTAGGAACGCGCGTGTTTAATTCAAAGCGAACGTTTGCCCGGACACTGACCGCCTTCCCGTCTTTGACATGTATGATTGGTTTTTGCTGTGGGAAACACGATGGAAGTTTCGGAGCAACGAAGGGGAAATTGGAGGGGCACCGTCCACCAAGCATGATTCTAAAAAGAATAAAGAGCAATAAATAGATTGTCAGAGCGAAACACGCGAGATCAATCAACAATGTAGTAAACTAAATTAAGAATTTCGAAATGTAGATGTTTATGTATTTACACTGAGTGAGAGCGGTGTGGTTTTGCCATTTTCTTACCTTGATCGCTTCTAAAGATAATCGGTCTTCCGTATTGACGACAATGATCTTGCTGATGAGATCACGACACGCCGGAGAGATTGGACACTCTACTCCATTACTCAACTTAGTTTTAGGAAGTGACAACCTCGTGCTGACGATAACCTGCAATTTTGAATTGAGATAAAAAATTCAAATGTTTTTGAAACTAGAAACAGCGCGAGATGATGATGATCAGTGAGCTACGAAGGCGGAAAATGTATCGTTCTCACTTGATAAGCCTTTTCAAAAGATATGTTACTCTCAAATGTCCATGGCAATTGGCCATAAATTGTCGCATACAAAGAGAGTCCGAAAGACCACACATCGACCAGCTCGCCACGATATCCCTTCTACAAAAGCACGACAATCAACAAACAAAAACAACCAGATGTTGATAATGGCCTGTCTGAATGTCCAAACGTTATTATGGTTTTTGATCCAAAATAAAGGAAGAAGTTTTGCGATGCACTCACTGTTCCTTCAAGCAATTCGGGAGCAGCATATGCAATCGTTCCAACTGCCTCTCTCAATAACTCTCCTTGCTTCACTTGAATCGCAGCACCCAAATCTCCAATCTTCACAGAAGAGGAACGAGAATCATGATCGCTGCTTAATAAAATGTTTTCCGGCTTTATATCACGGTGAACGATCCCATGAGAGTGAAGATACTCTAAACCGCCGCACAACTGAGAGATCAAGATGAGGGACCAGGAAGTTGGGACAGAACATTTTCACCTGACGGAACAGCGGCCTTGCTTGAGCCTCTGGGATCCCATGTGTTTGTTGTATCGCTCGAACAAGATCTCCAGAATTGGCAAATTCCATGATAAATAAAATCAGTCCGCACGAATGGCGTACGTCCAGAGTCCTGCGGATCGAAATAACAGTTCAGCAAATCTTTCTGATATTTCCCAGCACCAAAACGCCAACGTTACCCTTCACTCACTTAATAACGAAAGGATGATTCACAATTCTAGCGATTCGCGCCTCGTTGCATAAGCGCTGTGGGGCACCGTAACCACAACTCCATATGTGACGCGACGAAATCACTTTGACTGCAATGGGCCGATAAATCTGCATTCAAGAGCACAATTGTACTGATATCATTGGGTTGAAGTCATCGCGTATTGATGCAGCGATGGGATGGTCTTAATCCATCGTTTGTTGATCAATCGTATAGATTCTCTTCAATGTTGAACGCCCACTCTACTCACATTGGCGCGAGCATGGCTTCTTACCCGTTTCTCTTTGCACCATAATAGCCCTTCCACCACGGGGCTGCTTGCACCAGCGGCTGTATTCTTGAGTTCCTGAAAGACTAACGCGTCATCTCATTCTTCTAACATTCGATTTACGTTCAATAGAATACAATTTTTAGAGAGCGGAAGGATTTCGACCGGCTTCGAAGGGGTTTTGTCCTGCCGAGAAAATCATGGCAAGTCATAGTGACAAATCAAAGATGAACGCGAAAGCGGACTCGCCCAACAGTGAAACTGATGGCCTTGCCTTTCCGTTCTCGTCGTTCTTCTTCATTTTTTGGTGGACAGCGTCAACTACAGACTTCGCTGCTTGGAAACGACACATGGTCTCCTTCTCCACACATCGCAGCGCCACCCGCAGATCATCTATTGGACACCTGGAAAGAAGAGAGAGCAAGCGTTCCTCAAACCATCAATTCCTCAGTTAAAGCGTTTGCAATGGTCGCTAGACAAATGAATACCATGTTGGAGTGACGAATCCTCCCCTAAACGCCGAGAGTATTTCATTAATATTTGGGACATTCGCCAAGTACGAAATGAAAAGAAGACTCGAATAGAGCTCCTGATATCGAGGGATCGTGTGAGGGTCATCATTCCTTTGTCCTGAGTCTCTCGGAAAAGAGTATCTTTCGTCTGACCTGAAGCGTACGTCCATCCATTAAAGGATCCCCAAAAGAGACTCCAGCCTCAATTAATTGTTTCGTAAATCCCTCCATCTCTGAAAACAGATCCATCGAGGAAGATGAAGCTCCCTCTCTGACAAACTCGTGACCAGGGGAAGTCAGCATACCGATAAAGCTTCTTCCGAAAAACAAAACACACAAAAGACCTGAAGTGATTCCACCTTCTTCCGAAAAAAATGAACTGGGTGACTCTTGGGTTAAAGAAATGATTCGAACATTTTCGTTGCGTAAAAATTACGAACTGAGTTTGAGGTTGACTGAACTCCACAAACACACACTTCGCGCGAATGGCTTGATCGAGGCTTGGTCCTTCATAGATAGCAAGTTTGGAAAGTGTTGCTATAAAAAATTGTCGTACTTCACCAAACAAGCTGAAAATCTGCCTGAATCATAACACCTGCTAGCCAGGCACTTATCTATGAGAATATCCGCCTTAACTGTTGCCGAGCCGTTAACATGAAACTCTATGCCATGAGCATTTGAGTCGAGCAGATAAACTCATATGGAAGGACGTATTATGGTCGAATTTCGAAGACTTTGTTGTGCAGCACTCCCTTCAAATTCGAAATCAAAATAAACCATTTTGATCTTTGATGGGAAGGAGGGACGGCTTGCTGGTGTCATCGCAACGCGGGTTCTATCACTCGATCGGGATGGGCGCCTTTGTGTTAATCGATTCACGATTGAAAAGGTCCTTCAATTTCTTGATCAATCTGTCTGTCCTTCCTTGTTTCTGTCGCAGCTCCGTCACTGCATTCAATTGATCGACTGCTTGACTTCGCAACATGTTGACTGGCATCGTTTCTGCTTGGTCATACTTTGGTCTTAAAACTTTTCGTAGAGTTCTGTGACGATGAAGGAATTCACCGAAATAACGTCGACACCAACGGGAGACGATAGCGCTGAAACAAACAGGTTGTGGTCATGGAGAACTTTGTTACGGAAGGAATCACTACGATTTGTTTTGAATCGTTTTGAAAGTGACAAATGCGTCTACCGTATCAGTGTCTACGCGATTCACAGATTCCACGCGATTGGATGGAAGTCTGTAGTTGTTATCCTCTTTATTGCTTTAATTCCCGGCAGATGCACCAGCAATTTGTATTAGACTTTACCAGCAATTTGTATTAGACTTCACTTCTGGAACTTACGTCTTCATGGAATAAATTTCCCCAAAGGCGAGGTAAGCCAAGTCTCGACGCGCGCCTGCACCGCAGCGTTGAGGCTAAAAAAACATGAAAGAGATTCGCAGCTCCAGACAGAATTATTTACTTTTTTCTCCATTCCAAGGACCTCAAGCTGGGCAGTGATATCAAATTGTTTTCGAAGAGCTTTGGGCTGAGTCGAAGATGCCCGCATTTCACGAAGTGTGTTGACGGATGTAGCTGGTGCAAGCCGGCAGACAACATCCC